TATGGTCATATATTACCACAAGTTTAATATATTGGACAGAAGGCAGACCTTATGCTGCTCTAATGACAAGATTTCCATGCACTACCTTTGGCAAAAACTAAAGGCCAGATTTACATAGGCCGCCTGACGACGGATGGCATCTACAGCGCGTGACGGCTGCATCTGGCACACGTGCAATGTTTATAAAAACAGCATGTCGGGTGCGTGGCTGCTGCAAGCCCTATGTTGCTACGAACACTTTTTCCTGTATAATGTCCATGAAAAATATTAATTTTCATATAAATTAATTTACAATGCAAAATATATACAAAAAGTTTAAACGTAAATGTGAAAAGTGGTAACCAGAAAACAGTCACGTGTAGTTTGTTTACCAGAGAGAGAGAGAGAGAGCGATGGAACGGTGGAAAGATACTGCCCTTCAACCGGTTCACTTCTAAAAATTATTTCACAAGTGAAGTGTCACGTGGTAAATAAAAGATTACTACAGTGCTTTTACTTTGAAAAGTATGTTTAAACTGTACTGAAATATGTTGATATACTACCAATCGATCCTTTTCACTGTCCTCTTTTGCTAGGAGCTTGTGGGAAAAAGTAGGCAATACCTCGACTCTCTAGTGAAGCGTCAAAGGGTTCTGCACCTTTTGTACTGGTGTAAAAGCACTAGGGATGTCACTTTTTATTCGAAAATCAAAAATGTGTTCAAATGTGGTTCATTTTTAAACTGTAATGACCTGTTGGAATTCAAAATTTTGTTTGAAGTAACGTTAGAAGAGCTTGACCCGAGGGCACTCCACTATCATTCTGACCTATGGCATGCCCTATTGAGCAGTCAATAAACTAAGCTAGTAATGTTATGCTGTTTGAAGTAAAGCCAACCTGAGCGGACAGTCACGACACCAAAGCATCTGAGAAGTTCGAACGAATTTTCAAATTTCGGATAAAAAGAGACAGCCCTATTGTCTTTTTCAGTCTCCTTTTGGTTTTCCATAAATGTGTAGTGCCTCACAATCTATCATTAAAATAAGGAAAAGATTATATCATAAAGTTTATTTTTAGTAATAGTGATCTTGATTACAAAATTTGGCCATGGTTCAATTCCACCTGTTACTAAGAGAACGCCTACCTACCAAGTAATTAGCCAAAACATAATGTGCTTCACAAATGGCAATGCTGTTATTGTGCCAGACCCAAACAAAGAAGAGTTATAGCAGGGGTAGGCAATTTGCAGCTCCGCTGCTGCATGACAATGCTCACACAGTGATGGTTGGGCGAACCTGAGGAAGCAAGCAAAATGTGTTTTCTCTTAAATAAATCACAGTAAAGTCATTCCAGTGTGCATTGGTTAATTCAGATTTTTATATATGCATATATAAATATATTTAACATTTTCACCATCTTAGCTAACATTTGCCAATTGGCAGGAAAACTAGTGATGTCGCGTCCATTAATATTGTGTATGTGGTGATACCAAGTCTGAAACGGTACTTAAAAGTTGATTAAATATGTATCAGATGCATTAGAATAACAGTTGTAGCCTACTTAATATGACGCACCCATTTTTCATCATAAACAATATTTGACTGAGTACAGACACCGGCTTGCAGAGAGCACACAAACCCAACAACAGACACATTTATTTTGGCTTGTTACCAAATTACTCACAGAATTAACATTAGTCAGCCGTAATGACCTTTCACTGCCAATGATTTTTCTAGCTAAAATTGAGAAGCTGCTACCTCAGTATTATGTACACTACTCTTTGCTTATAAAAATGTGCAATTCTTTTTCGCATTCAGATACTGATATTCACTAGTATGCTTTGCCAACATCTTGGACAAAGTGGTGGACTGACTGAAAGACCGACCGACTGATATTGCCATCCCTAGGACCAGGCACTAGCGTGGCTACAGAGTAATCACTTGCTTCTTGGCCCATGTCCTGACTTTCTAATAAATTTAATTGAAATCTGTTAAGTAGATATCCTTGTAAATAGAACACACTAACAGACAGAGACACAACTGGGACCAAAAACATAACCTCCTTGACGAAGGTAAGTAATATTGAACTGAAGGAAATTCATTACTATGCTGTGATAATGAGTATCTCCATATTGCTAGGTAAATTGAACCCATTACCTGGAGGACAAATAATAAAGTGACACATTTAACATGCGATTGAGGGCACATTCCATTTTACCCACTAATAACCCCTGCATCATAATTACATCTAGATTTGGTTGTAAGCTCTATTACATTTGCTCAATTATCCATTTCCTCTGATTGCCACGGTCCCTTTTGTAGTTGCAACAATGAACAAATTCTCTGCAGCTGTGTAATATTTTAGACAATCCCCCTGTTTTTCTATGTAAAGATTTAAAACTGTAAACAACATTTTTTTTTTTTTATATTTGAAAGTGCAGAGAAGAAAACAATGCCCTTAGCAGAGAATACTAATTGCTCCAACAGGTTCTCGTGTCCTCTCCCTGGAGCTTCCAATGAGAAATTGATTACATATCAGTCACAGTAAAGAAAAGAAAAGAAAAAACATCTCAACTGAGCAAGGGATGAGATGAGGGGGAATAAAAGATGTTCCTTCTTTTGGCTCCTGTTGATCCGATATTGATTGCCTGACATTGGTCAAATATCCCACTCTGCATTGCGTATATAGATCCTGATTAGGTGTAGAGAGGGTGGGGTGGAGCGGTGGGTAGTCTGGCAGCACAGGGCACATGAGAGAGGCTGATTAGGTCTGTCACCCACCAGGGATGTATCATTGATCATCTTTTTCTTTGATTGGGATGAAACAAATGCTTTGATTTTTAACATTGGCATACCTACACTGTTTCTGCACAGGCTGCTCTTAATGTATGCCAAGTCATGAGGCTGCTGTTTCACAATGGTTTGTATGTTGGCTCTTGTATAGTGAAGGGAATTGTTGTAAAAGCTTGTTCATGTTTTCCTCCCTGCAGTGAGCCTTTGTTCATCTCTAAATTGAACATTTCAGTTGTGGAAGAACATGTTCTTGGTGAGAAGGATGTGCGCTTTGTTTTTGTTTTGGTTTGTTTTGGCTTTACAATCCGAGCATGTTGCCCCCAAAACTCTGTCAGGAGGACCACAGAGAGTTGAATCAGCATCAGTATATAGATCCAAAGTTATTCTCAGTGTCACCCAGCTACTTTTCAAATTAAAAAAAGTATGCAAAGAAACCCTGTAGAATCAATGCAGGGACTCAGTCGCTCAGGAATATTATGAATATGCTGAGATGTAACAAAGGTGCACAGTGTCCGGAGCTCTTACTTCACTGAAGTCTTGCTTTGCAAAAGGGAGAGTAGCCTTGTTTCCAGGGACTAAGAATAATTGGTGTGTTTATACAATCAATGGTAGAGAGAAGCCAAGCTTCTCTAGGGAAATATGAACACTACAGCGCTACCACCTGCTCCTGCCTCTAAACCAAGCTGTGCATTTCACAGAGAGCTATATGACTGGTTTCAGATTGTGTCCTTTGTTCTGTATTTGTCAATATTGTCAAACTGAGGCATTGTTTCATGTCATTGGTTCTTGTATGTTCTACACTGTCTTTTGTCTAAGATACGCTTCCTTATGTTATTTGAAGTACTGTATCTACTTTGTATTTTGACATCAAGTATCTAGTACGACATGCATCTACTTTATAATGGTAATTGTCTGGTTGAGAACATAAGAAATATGCCCTGATTGTGATGCTCCATTAATGTTTTTCCCTGTTTAATACTGCCACATGGATTTTGGCAGTCGATCCCATTTTACTAAGTGCAGTCTTACCAAAAAGAACCAAGTCTTGTTAAACAAAAACCTAAACATCTTATGCCAAGAGAAAGAAAAGCTGTGTTATCTGCCGTGGCATTAAAAGTTAGACATTTTGGGAAATACGCTTATTTGCTTCCTGGCACAGTTTAATGCAAAGGGCAATACCACATTCCCAGTTAGAGGACAACAAAATGCACCTACCAACACCTATAAAATCTCACTACTCAAAATGTTTTACCTTTGTGCAAAAAAGTGTAAAAATAACAATTCACTGGCTCTGTCTCTGGTGGTTGCCTGGCAACTACTTAATTTGTGAGGTTCAGAGGTGGTGGTAGGCCGACTGTGTTATCGTTAGACTTAGCCAGGCTAGCCATTTCCCCAACCTTGTGCTAAGTTGCTGGCAGTAGCTTGATCTTTAACAGACAGATACATTTTGGGTATTTTCTGCAAAATGAGTAAATTGTATAAACTACAACATAGTGGTCAACTTCTTTGTTGTCTTTACTTTATCTTTATTGGAGGGTTGATGTGTATTTTAAATCTTTTCAATAAGGAACCTTTTTATGCCTATAAGCTAAAACATTCCCCATTTTACTGACAAAATAGCAGGTACTTCCTATTGTTGGCTGGCTAACTGCCAAAAAGGCTGATGAAGTCCTAGCTTAGCAGCTAACATTTGATGATGATTCTTCTTCTCCAGCCTTCTGCTTTCAGTTGTTTCAGTTATTCATCTTCTTTTACATTGAAATCTTAATTCACTTTTATTTCCCTATTCCTTTAGGTCATAACTAACCTAGATGCAGTCCTGTGTGGCTCAACAGGTCAGGCATGGCACTAACACTGCCCAGGGCCATGCATTTGTGTCCCATGGGGGCATCCCTCAAATCATATACAGTCCACTTTGTAGGTCATCTTCATTCATTCCAGTTAAAATATAATAATATTTTATGAATATATATTTTATTATATAATGGTGTTTGTGAGTAACCTTTAAAGTCGTCAAAATCAGAAACAATGAGCACATTAAATGCTAAATAGCAGCATTTTCTAACATTTTAATTCCCTTTCATAGCGTAAAGTTAACTCAATAAAATCTTGCATATTAAAGGGCCAACAGGACCTCACAGACAAGTACAGTACAGTACAGTGCAAGACATACAGTATCCACTGCACCACACACTTCCTACATTAGAGAAAGGTGACATGAGTTATTACCTTTGTAGAAGCACTCCTCGCTGTGCATGATGGTAATCCTTTGTCCTCTGAGACAGGAGGCCCGGTGGAGCTCACAATGGTTCTGGTACAGCTTCCCATCTGAACCACACACAGGTTTATAGTGTGGTTTACAGTGATCCAAGCACTTACACTCCCCTTGGTCAGTGTCTTGGTTAACCACACAGTGACGCCCCAAGCCACAGTACTTGTGTTCACACGGACCTGGATAGCCATTGTGTCCCATAAAACCTGTGAAAAAAAACACACAGAAAAAAAGAGTCACATTTTTGTCTGACCAGTGATCTACATGTGGATTTTATCTAGGGCTGCACAATATGGTGATAACATCATATTGCATTTTGGCAGATATTGCGATTGCAATATGATTCACAATTAGTGTGGGAATGATCATTTTTGCATCACAAATTTGATTTTCACAGAAAAAAACTATGAAAATCCATTTTTGGGGATGGATGGGATTTTTCTCAACTCACAAAGTGACAGTCAAATCCATAAATTATTCAAGTCAAGTTCACAACAAAACAACCACAGTGTGAATGATTTAAAAAAGTATGTTCACTTCAACCAAAATATGCACTGTAAAGCAAAACATCTGTTGCGTGATTTGATATTTTTATGCGCAGATGCAAGACTGCAAAGATAAGTAAATGTAAGTACATTTCGATCAAATAACTTTAATTAACTAGTAGAGAGGAGATGTTCTTTCTATGTGAGCATGTGTAATTATGATGTAGTCTTACATAAAGATCTGTCTGCATTTGCATAGAGGCTGTGACATTTTAAGGGCTATTAGGGCAAGTATGCAACAATACTGCTAAATGAAGTGCACATGCCAATAAAACATGTTGCTATGTTGTCAAATATAATGTAACCTTGGTGGGTATAGCTGTCATGTAATGTGTAGTGTACGTAAAATAAGAAAAAGACATTGCTTCGGGTTGCAACAAATGATTATTTCCGATACATCTGCAGATTATTTTGTGGATTAATAGTCTGGTCCATAAAACATTAAAAAAAATAATTTGTGTATAAAATATAAACCAAGTTTGTTTATATTTTTTGTAAATTCAATTCAATTCAATTCAATTCAATTTTATTTGTAT